AATTTCCTTGGAGAGACTGAGGAGAGCCACGAAAAATCTCGTTTGTCATAGCCAGACACCTAGGCCGAGATTTGAGCACAGCGCCTCGCAAATACGAAACAGGAGTGCTATCTACTTGGCCACAAAGCTTGGAGCCTTTATAATTTGGTCATTTTCAAATTTAACAGAATTTTGACAGAACCATCATAGGACATACTAAATTATACTCTGTCACTTTTATGTTCTTGGGGACCAGCGGTCAGCTTACTGGTGCTCTTTATGGTGTGATTTTATACGATTTCATGCAACAGCTGCAGTGTCTGAAAGTTTTCAGAGATATGGTCACCCAGTTTGTAAAACCATTCATCCTTCCTTTTTCCCACAGAAATCGTAATGTAATAATACCAAAAATTACGGTGAAATGTAACGTTTTAAGTAATAATACTAGTCTTAAAGATATATGTTTTGGTATGACTAACCTTCGGGCTATTTCTGTTAGTAGGCCTATAAATATGCATAATTGTTATACCAATTTAAAAACATTTTATTTCATATTTCTTCTTAACAAGGCCAGTAATTAGGCTTGCACCCTAATTCTCTACAATCTGTCAAATTCAAAGGATATGATCAATGCTCAACCCACTGGGACTGAATTCACAACTATAATCACCAGTGTTTTCATTCATGAATGATGCAAACCATAGTACAAGAATTCTGGATAACATTTTCTCCACAGCTGACAAAGTAGAGATTTGTTTGAAGTCAGGTCAGTCCCTCTTTTGATATGTTTATGTACTTACATCTTAAAGCAGCATCCAATGCCTGCTGTGAGTACTCCAGATGGAAATAAATGAAGACTGGACATTTACAATGGGCTGGGATAGTTCATTTGGTATAGTGATTGGGCTACAGCTGGATGACCAAGGAACCAGGATTCAATTCATGGCAGGGATAAGAGATTTTTACTCTTCTCCATAGTATCCAAACAAGCAAAACATTTCAGTTTCTCAATGGTCATTTCAACTTCATTGAAGGTGGATTCTGAGACAAACAGTTAGGCAGTATGTCAGCGGCCTCCGTAGTCTAGAGGTAATGTTTCCACCTCATGACTCATGGTACGCAGGTTCAAACCCGGCGGAGGTCGTGGAATTTTTAAGGGCGGAAAAATTCGGGGAACAAGTCCTCCGGGAGGGACTTTAAGCCGTGGGTCCCGTGTCGTAGCTTTACAGCACGTAAAAGAACCTCATATCTCCAAAGGAGGTCACTGAGCCAAATTCAAGGTCATTTCCCGCCCAACAGTAGTCTCTAATTCCTCTGATAGATGGGGGAAGCATTATAGATACCGCCAAGCCAGTAGAGGCCGAACTCGCTGGCTCGGTCGGGACTGATGGTACGCACCAATATCGGTAGGGTATAGAGACTGGTAGAATATCATAGAGGGAAGCACAATGGACCACTACTGGTCTAAGTGCATGGGGAAACCCACCCTCTCCAATAACTAACTAACTAACTAACTAACTAACTAGGCAGTATGTCCACAAGCTGGATGAATAAATATTGTGGCACATACAGCCACTGCCAGGCAAGAGGGGAATGAACAATGGTGTTATGCAAACAATTTCTAGGGAACGGATCAGCAGACACATTCCTGCGGCAAAGAGTATGCACACAACACTAATAACCCCCTTTTTAGCAACGGATCAGTAAACATACGATAGGAGTTTTCCTGGAGATGGTGTTTTCTGTTCAGTCTGTGCAAAGTGGTTATAAAAAGAGTTCAGTTGAGAATTAGAATACGAGTAAAGTTCCAGAGTTGGCAGCTGCAGAAGAGAATTGACAGAGTTGGCAGTCAAAGGTGACTGAGAATAATGGCAAGAAAGGAATTAGGCTTTGCAAAGAAGACTTCATGTGTGATTTGAATTGTCAGTGAGACTGTTATGAATCCATTGCCAGGATAAAACTAGTGAAGACTGAGGACACTAGTATGTGTAACAGTGAGCTGCTAAGTGTGGAAATAGTGATAACACTATAATTGCTTGTAGTTCCGAGGGGTGTGTATAAGGTGTCAATAAATCCAATCATCCAGTCCAAAACCCATTTATAAGTCACACACAACCCCTAATACACACGACAATATTAATTACCGTACTGTCTTTAAACACAAAGTCTTAGAAACAATTAAAGGGAAGGTTCCACATACTAATTTTCTGAACTCTAAATTGTAATACATCTACTATAAATGGTTTTAAGATTTTATGTTAAATTAAATTACACTCCCTGTATCCAAAGTTAATGACTGTTGTATATAGAATATGTCATATAAATACAAAAACGTATGTAGAGTACATCTGAAGTTTTCACATACGAAGACACAGTGGTTACACATGAGGCTATTAAAAAATACATCTGCATACAGTATGCGTCATATACATCGATCCTGTCAACTTACGCTATTTAAACAACCTTTAAACAGACGAGTCATGTTTTAGACAATAAGTATTCATCCAGAGAGTAGAATGAGTGTGTGTTTAAGTATCATTTTAGTGTTATTTTACATTGTGCTTTTTCATTCAAGAGACCTTTGAGATCAGATGGCAAATTATTGAAAATGTTGATCCCAGCATAATATATGTTCTTTCTAAAAGCATGAGAGGTCAGCATTTGGTTTAAGAAGATAGCGTTCATGTCTTGAGTTAACACTGTGTACATCTGCATTTATCTCAAAATGTTCTGTTATTTGTAATGAAGTTTACTAAAGAAAATACACATTCACATGGAAGAGTTAAGATCTTTAAATCTCTTAAATTGAAATCTATAAGAATTATGGGATTTTATACCCATCATGAGTCTAATAATTTTCTTCTGCAATGTAAATGTCTTTTTTTCTGTCAGATGAATTACCATAGAAAATTATTCCATACTTCATTAAAGGGTGAAGTAAGCAAAATATATCGATTTGAGAGTGTCAGTGTTGCTAATACGCAACACAAATCTAACAGCATAACACGCTCCTTTGAGCTTTCGAACCAACTGATTGATTTTGTTTTCCCATTTTAAAAGATTATCGATTTGTAAGCCAAGGAATTTTGTGTTTACTACCTCTTTTATATATTTATCATTATATTCAATGTTTAATGGATACTGTGGTGAGTTTTTTATTGTAAATTTTATTATATTTGTATTATCTAGATTCAGAGACAGCTTGTATGCAGAAAACCATTTACTTATTTGAGAGAAAACTTTTGTTTCATAGTATGCAGAAATCATCTAAATTTTTATGAGAGATTATAACAACAGTGTCATCAGCAAACATTATGATTATTAATGAGATGTTTAGTGTAGGAGGCAACTCATTTATATAGATTATGAAAACCTAAGGCACTAAAATTGACCCCTGGGGGACTCCATGCATTAATGTTTCACAGTTACTTACAAGTATCATAAACATTTTTTTTTTTTCAGAATATCTTGCATGAAACTATTGTAACAAAATGTGGGGTGAAGCATCAACTCATTAATACTCTAGAGACAGAGTGACAATTCAGCAGAGAAATAAGAGCACTGTAGAACAGTTCAGCTCTGTGGCATAGCATCCCCTTAAATGAAGAAATCTGTCCAATAAATATACCTTTCAAACTTCTGTACATTCAAACATGCTGCTGATTGATGATTATTATTCTGGTGGTGGTAATGCGGAATGGTAGAATTTGTGTTGCAGATAAATACCAAAAAAAGAAATGAGCAACATACTCTGCATTTCAAACTGATACTCAAGCTTTGCCACATATTACTGACGTTTATTTATACTCTGCAGTTACCAAAGAGAACATAGGCAGGTACAATAAAGCTTGAACATCACTTTCATTTAAATCCATACCTCTTGTTGCAGTGTGAATGCAAAACCTGATGGTGTGGAGATTCTGGCTCCCCCCCCCCCCCCCATCAGCCTATGCTTTCTGTTATCCTCCTATCTCTTCTTTGCTGGCTTACGACAATAGAATTGCGAAGTTCAAAACATAGCAGATGATTTATATTATCTGTGCAGTGTTCTCAAGGTATTAAATCAAATCTGGTGTGAACCCCACTTAACTTTCTCATATTCAGTTTTAGAAAAGAAGGTACACCTAAATTTGTTCCTGTACTTAAGCACCACACCACGGAGATGTATGGTAGTGGGAAGTAAAATTATAATATTGACACTAGTTGGAGACACGTGATCAGCTTTTCATTCCCAGCTGCTCTACACCGAGTACTTATTAACAAGACCAAATATTAAATTTCATAAGTCTTTAAGAAAGCGTTAAGATTTCTTTTCTTCGGTGGCATTTTCTGTAATTCAGCTCTTTAAATACCAAGGACCAGAAATATACTTACAATTTGTTCAAGGAGAATTGTTCCTTTACTGCACCTATTGATCAACAGTGATAGTTGGGCAATTGTCTTAAGCAGATTCTAAAAGGTTCTGATGATGGTGTATAACACTCAGAATTACTAGGTTCTTGGACTTTGTTCATTGTCCAGTATTCTAGAAACTATAAAACACAACATTATGGAAACTGGATTTGTTTCCATCCTCAGGTGAGGGGGGAAGACATGTACTCACTTGGGTCCCTTAGAAAGAGCTAACCTCAGTCACTGGAGATTAGCTCTTTCTAAAGAACCCAATTAAGTAGGTGTCTTTCCTCCCTCACCTGAAGACAGAAGCAGATCCAGTTTCCAAAACACTGTGTTCCCTAGTTTCTAGAATAACGGACAATGGATAAAGTCCAAAAACCAAGTAATTCTGAATTTTCTTAAGGCTTAAGACTTGATTCTTTATAACAAAAATGTCTCTTCACATCCCTAGAAACAGGTTATCTTTATTCTCCCCTTCAACCAATCAGTGAATCAATAAACTGACCAGCTGATTAATCACTCAATCATAAAATCAAACAACAACCAATTCTGCTACCATCTCCAACACATTTGGATTCACAATGGTTTGTTTGAAGTCCTAAAATAAATTTTTCTGTAGAGATAAATTAAGATAACAATTCTTTTATTTCCTATCACATTTTTACAACATAAATTACATATTTTTGTGGTTCTTTGTACCATCCTTATGCTCTCTATATTACAGTAATTATTATGCTGACTTAGAGTCATTACACAAACAGAAGGAAGCTAATGCATAAGCAATGAGTTAAGACACTTGTTGTCAGCAAAACAACTCTTCATAGAAGAGCTGCAAACAAGGCAGGTCAGAAGTCCCACTGGTCAGGTTCAATCTCTAACTCTGAAAGCTTCTCAGCAGCCAAGATGGATGCCAGGTCATCTGGAAAAAATTCTATTACTTATACAACTTCTTTACAAAGTCCTACATACACTTAAATATGTCAGTACATTTATCTTATGCCATTAGCACAACTAATAAAACTTCTACTGACAAGTATTATTTTTTGTTGCAAGGACATTTGCAGATTACCTTGACTGTCAATTCTGCGGTCACAGATTGGCATGACTGGGTGCAGGAGCTGTGGCACGGTGGGAAAAGTGTCACTATGACGCTGACGACACTGCTTGAAGAAGGAGTGTGCAAGGAGCTGACTAGCTGATGGCCGCAGGGCAGGGTCCCTCTGGAGGCACAGTTCAGCAAACTGGTGGAAGGGTTCTGAGAACCTTCGCTGCTGCATGTTCTTCAATTGCATCATGTTGCTTGCAACACTGTCCCCTACACCAGAGTCTGCATGATGCACTGCCAGTCAACAAGGTATCACAGCAGGATGCCTTTAAATGCCAGGTATCTTCATAGTGGCTGTGCATAGCAGCCATAGTATGTATGACTCATTCTTGGATCATTTAATAATTCCCTTTCAACTGCACAGATTACATAGCACCAAACAGTACAATATTCTGAGTGATGAATTGAAGAATATGTGGAAGGAAGCCATCATGGCCTGTATGTAGGGATTGAAGGAAATGAGATGGCTCATGACATATAGTCTCCAGGCTAAGAGTCAAACCCCTAGACTTGCCACATACTGTACAAAACAGGAATGGTAGTCACTTAAATGTGGAATGTAGTCATATGGATGGATACTTGTATGCAAATATATACATACATGTATGCATAAAACTCCAGTCTAGCCGACTGCATTTTCATGCAGCTGAAATTAACCAACCAACATTTTTTACTATACATGGTTGTCAATATACTTTGCTGTGCTTCTTCTTACACATCTATTTCAGTCTTCTCATCAATTTCTGCACTTGTAATCTAATAAATTTCAATAGTTAGTTCTAAAAATTAAATTCCCATGCATATGTTATCTTATTCTTACCAACCCCCATAATTATCACTGTCTGTGACACCAAAATAAAGCAAGTGTTATCTTTCTTCTACACTTCTCAGGACCAAAGTCTACTGATATGTCAATTTCCAAACTGATACAAATTCTGATATTACAAATATATTTAAATTTTAACATGACCACCATGAATTCCACCGTTGACTCGTGTAATGTACATACTCCTAAGATGTTCTGCCGTTATCATTTATGCTTAAATTAGTTTCAATCTCAAGACTATACTGCTGCTATACTATCATTAAACATTTAACAACAACAAAAAGTCCAGGGGCTGTAGTCTGCAAGTGAACTATACTGACCAAGTGATTGCCGCTTGTCGGCGAAGTTAGTGCCAACTTCTGTGGATAGAGAGTGTCGCGTGGTCAGTGCAACAGATCCCTACGGCCGTTAATCTCGGTTTTCTAGACCGAAGCCACTATTTGCTTGAAACAGCTCCTCAACTATCCTCATGAGGCTGAGTGGACCCCGTTCCAGGCCCACTACTTCTCAGAAAATCAGGTAGTGCCGAGAATTCAACCCGGGTCCTCTGGATCTGTAGGTAGCAACTCTGACCACTAGACCACAGAGACATTTAACATTTTAATAAAAATTCAAAATATTTCAATTAAAACAACCACTTATCTTTTACAATAAGCCTTTAAATTCAGAAACAGAGTAATCAACAGCCAGCATTGTTTATTTACCCATTTAATTATTTTACTTACGGTTTATGTAGCAAGAAATGGCACAATGACCAGTGGGCAATCAATTGGAAAGGATATGGAAGCAAGCAGCCATGACCTACTTTAAGATACTAGTCCAGCATTTGCCTGGAAGGAATGTGGAGAGCCATGACATAACTGCCAGCAGCCAGTATTTGAATCAGTCACCTCCAAATACAAGTTAGAAACGTTACCACATGAGCTAGCTTACTTCATACCAGTACTGTCAGAAGAAGTAAAGTGATTAGTACCATGGAGTCCCAGTTGTTGTCCCCCATCCTCGTCACACAAATATGTGGTGTGATCCAACAACTGTGGTGCATGGCCCCGCACCTTCTCAGTCAGCATCAATGTGGTCGGTGTGTCCACAAATGGAACTACTCCATTTGCAAGCTCACATGCTGTCATTCCTATGCTGTACACATCCGACTTCTCATTGTATCCATGCAGATTCTGCCAATAAATCATGAAGAGAACAGGATTATCTGTGTTAGAACAAAGTGTGCCAGTACACATCAATTCTCTGTTGGTATGTATAGTGGCTGATAAAAGCAAATGGTGTAAGTAATAAACTACACCATTTATTTAACATTTTTTAAGTGCATAGTATAAAACAGGAGAATGGTTGCAAATAATGTAGCCTGTATAGTCCAGCATTTACCTGGAGGGACTGAGCTAAATCATAAAAAATCTCAATCAGGATTGACAGTTGTCAGAACAATATTTGAATCCAGAACCTACCAAGAATAAAGCAGAAGTGTTAACACAACACTGCAACATTCAGTATTCTCATGACGACCTTCCATTATTCTGCCCTTTGAATGGAAAACAATTTGAAAAGTTTCATGTATCAGGCGTGTTCTCAGCACACATTAGTATGATCAACAAGTCTATTTTATTCTTGCAGAGCCAGTTCTGAAAAGCAATTAATATTATTGCATGTGTGTATAACGCTTTTCTCAGTCAACAACCGATGCATACTAGCAAACTTATCAAAACTCAAAAGTTGTACATTTGCTGGTGCAGTGTATATTTTGATTCTGAGGCTTAAACCAAGCACAAGAGTAACAGAAAACATGGTTTTACACATACAAACACATATACATATCAATTAGAAGGTATTCAAGTAAATAAAGACACTGAAGTTCCTTCCACCACAGCCTTTCTTTACAATTCTATGAGCACCCTTCTTCAATCTGCTTAAAATATAAATTCTTAATATCTCTCATTTTTATTTTTTCCTTACTATAGTTACATTTTCACAAATTTATTTACCATTTCTGTAACATGTCAAGAGTCCCAAAATTAATTAGCCAAGTCAGACCATACTGTCTTTGGTATACACTGGAATCACCCACAGTTCTTGACTTACTGGCAGAATCATGAATGTACAATTTGTCTGTGAAATTATAATGCAGTTTTCATGCTTCATTATTTTGCAACACTTAGTGCTAGAAACCTGAACAACAAATGAAGAGTGAACATTCACACTTTCCCTACGTTGTTTGTGAAGTTCAGTGTGAGCTCCATTTGTTTCTCTACCTTTGGTATTCTAATTCTCGCATCTTCTTCTTCATAAGGCTCAACAGCTTCATTTCTTAAATGCTTTGGCCTGCTCAACAATTTCCTTCCAACTACTTCTATCCTGTGTGCGAGCTGTCCAGTTATAAATTCCTAAGTCCTTTAGATCTTCCCTTACATCATCTTTCCATCTGATCTTGGGTAGGCCTCTCTTGATTATAGCATGTGGCTGCCAGTCATATATTCTTTTAACTGTTTGTCCAGCCTCCATCCTTGAGATGTGTCCAAGCCAACTTATTCTTTGGGCTTTGATGAAGTTAACCGTGTTCCTTCCTTTTATTAGATTGACTAGTTCATTTATTTTAATTCTCCAGGAGTCATCAGAGTAATTCTCACATAAACAAATGAGAAAATTTGCTGTAAATCATTTGTGTCATCAATTTTCGCTCTCAGCAGCACTCGTTCTATGCATTCCTGTAGCCAGAAGTAGCAGACTAAAGACTGGAGGCTAGGGAGGCCAACTTCTTTTCTAGCCCAGTGTCCTGGAGAATATTCATTTAGACTGGATATGTTGAAACTTCATATGTTACCACGAGACAATAAAGCAGACTCAGCTTGATGGATCTCCACTTTTCCATAAAAAATGTTCATTATAGTCAAAATAAACATTTTCCAGGTTGGTGGACTGGAAGAGAGGATCTGAAACCTTGACCATCTCAGTAAAATGGTGGCAAGAGTGAAATCCATGACTCACAGGCCAACTGAAGCAGAGATCAGAGACACTGTAGAGTCTATAGGTCCAGTAACTCCAGATGTTTTCATCTGGATATGAAGAGAATGGAAATACCAATCATACATGTGCAGAGCAATTCATTTCATTTATTCACCTTCCATAAATCCTGTTGAGAGTACATTCTCATGCGAATGTGGAGATCGTCCTAGTTACAGTCACAGCTAAGAATTACACTTGTCATCCAATAGCACACACATTTGTAATAAAATACTGATAAACATATACATTATGATAAATAAGTTAATTTTAGTAGTAAAAGTAATGGCAAAACTTATACAATTTGTACAGTTTTATACAAGTCTATTAATTAAAAATCCAATAGTTAAAACACAATGTCATTAATGAGTTTTGTATAACATACACTAATTATATAATAAATTGAAATAAAGACTAGTATACAGTGATATAAAGATTGTGTATACCTAAAATAAGCATCTAAAAACCAGAACACAGACTGGCAATCTTGCCTTCTTTTAACTCGCATCTTAAAAAGATTTATAACCAAAATATTCCTGTAAAGAATAAGAAGAATGTAAATATAAAAATTGTTTTAGTTGTACCTCAAAACTCTTAGTTACACTCAATATATCCTTAATATGTTGTGGTAGATTATTATAGACCTTTGTTCCAAAACAATAAACTCCCTTTTGGTATTTATTCAAATTTACAAGAGGCTGATGGAGATTTTTTGCTGTCTGGTATTTATTCTATGAATCTCACACTGAACTTCACTATTAAAGATAAACATTAAAAATTTATCTTTTGTTTCATATTTTATTCATGATTCTAGCATTAATTATTTCAAAACAGATATGCTTGAAAAGAGCAAAATAACTTACGAATATACTGCATCAAGAATCACATAAAGGGCAGAAAAAAAGTAAAGTTGTCCCTGTGCTCAACTAATTAAGCACTACACCATGAAGGCATATGGAGGAGTGGATGTATAAATCTATATTTTCTTGACCTTAGCACTAGGTGGAGGTGAGTGGTCAGCTTCACGTCCCAGCCACTTTACCCCCGGGGACAGAGCCCCTGGTACCCATTGGATAGGAGGCTGGGTGGGCCCCAGAGCCAGTCTGGACTATATGGAGAAGAGAAAATTCTGACCCTACCGGGACTCGAACTCCAACCTTTCAGTTGTCCAGCCCGCAGGCAGTTGCTATACCGACTGTGCTAGCCCAGCTCACTTCACATAAGATGCATAATTCACTTATTTGCATACAAGTTTCCTTTGGTCTGCACTGTCAAGTATCACAATAGTAACAACTGTTATATTCAGAGAGACATACAGGGAAACTATCAGGCACTATCATGGCACTGAAGGTGAGGTAATTGTTTCTGATGGAGGGGAGTGATGTGGTACTCACCTGTTCTAACACCTCAGGGCTCAGCCAGTTGAGGTTGCATGCTGTGCTGCGTGGAAATGAGTGCACAGAACGCTGCCAACGACCATGCTCTACTATCCGACATGCATACCGCAGACCAGTCAGGCATGCTCGCCCACAGCTTGAAACTAAGATATGGCTGGCCCGTATTGCTCTGAAAGACATGCCCTACATTCATGAGAAGAAAATAGTTGATAGGGGTGTTGGAAGGGAATCTTGCATTGTCTTTTAAGATTTTAAGTGTAGACAAAAAATCTAAACACATTAAGTAATAATACTTAAGAAACAAGCATCCACACAATAAGCCTTTAAGAAATTTTGTCAACTTTTAGGGAAGAAAATATGAGTGGACTATGGAAAAGGATATAATGTCAAGGGAAAATACCCCTGGTACTCATTGGATACAAAGATGAATGGGCTCCAGGGCTAGCCTGGAGATGGTGACAAAGAAAGCTCCTGTCCCTGCTAGGAATGAAACTCTGTCTGCCAATCCAGTAGTGAGTCAATTTGTTAAATGTGCAATCCAAGTTTCTTGCATTCTGATGCACACTGTTCAATATATGGCATCCCTTATGATCTCAACTTATATGGAGATGAGTGGTCAGCTTCATGCCCCAACCACTTTATCCCTGGGGACAAGGTGCCCAGCATCTAATACATAGGAGGCTGCATGGGACCCAGAACTGGTCTGAATGATGCAGAGAAGAAAAAAATCTTACCCCTACTGAGACTCGAGACTGATGAATATGAAACATTATAAAATGACAAATGTAGAGAAAATCAGAGTACTTTGAGAAAAACCTGGCCCAGTGCCATTTTATCAACCAAAAATGTCATGTGGAACTGCTCCTGGATTGAAGCTGGGCCTCCACAGTGAGAAGCTAACACTAGCCAGGTGAGCTAAGGCAATCCAGTCTGGACAGACCGACCAGCAGACTAACTAAATGAGTCAAGAGTTATTCTTGAGAAGCTCATAGTAGCTCGGTTGGGAAGGAAACAAAACTCCCTGCATGTTTAGAACCTACCACTGGTCCCTGCCCTGAGCCAGATGAATCATTTCATTTTAATATTTTCCTTCTACCTATGCCTATGAGGGGCACATGGTAGCATAGTTGGTTTAAGCACTATGCTACAAGCCAGAAGGTAACAGGTTCGAGTCCCGATAAGGTGCCCTGAGACAGATGAATAATTTCATTTTAATATTTTCTTCCTACCTATGCCTATGAGGGGCACGTGGTAGCATAGTTGGTTGAAGCACTATGCTACAAGCCAGAAGGCCACAGGTTCGAGTCCCGATAAGGTGCCCTGAGACAGATGAATAATTTCATTTTAATATTTTCTTCCTACCTATGCCCATGAAGGGCACGTGGTAGCGTAGTTGGTTGAAGCACTATGCTACAAGCCAAAAGGCTGCAGGTTCAAGTCCTGATGAGGTGGATTTTTTTCAATTCACCTAATCCTTCCAGCCACACTATTGGCTCTGGGGTTGACTCAGCCTCTACCAGAAATGAATACCAGGAATCTTTCTGGGGGGGTAAAGGGTGGTCGGCACATAAGGCTGACAACTTTACTGCCATCTGTGAGCTGATTGTCTAGATAATGTGGGATCCTCAAAGTCTCACAATTCTATGGGCTTCCACTACCTGTTACAGGAATAACTTTACCTTTCTTTTTTACCTATGCCTATGTCTTCAAGGTGATTTTGTTCCATACAGCCCATTCTGATCTTATACAGCAAAAATCTCTTCAGCACAAGATTACTATACAGAGCCATATAAAGAACTGAAGCCTGGAAGCTTTGAGAAACCATGCACTAATGTCACAATTTTGATACCTTACCAATTCATATGACACTTGGCAATACTGTTTTCATTTCTGCACCACACAGATTTATTTGAACTTCAATTTCAGTTCTTTGAGGTGGACAATGTGGCATTAAGATACAAAATCTCTTCATAATCCACTTCCCATACCTGTGAATGTATCCTTTTCGATGGACATAATCAAGTCCTTGGAGAACATCCCGGAGAATAGATGCAATGGCCAACTCAGGAAGACCATCTGTAAAATGACTGGACAGCAGATCCTTGCAGGAACCATATGCCATCAGGGGTGACACAACTACTACCTCTGGACCTGACACAAATGCTGCATGGTATGGCAAAACATTTGGATGTTGCAGCTGTCTTGTCAAGATTATTTCATGCTGGAAACAGTGTTCCATATCACACATAATGTTTTGCTTTCTGTCAGAGTACAGAATATGATGAAACATGATATTGAGAGTTCTTACAAAATGTTAAGTCCTTCTGGTCATTCCTCAAATAAGATAATCGATTCTTTCATGCAACGAAATGTTTCTGAGTGAGTACACACAATATGATGCAACTTCCTGTAGTGTCCTAAACCACCTGCTTCAAAACTGTGTCCTTCATAATTTCAGTCAGTATGGTACTGTCGTTAAAAACATTCTACCTTTACTGTTAACAATCACAATGAAACTGCAAGTTACTTTGGAATTTGCTGGAATCATTACACACAAAACAGATTACTGTTCATAATATTGTATTTGAGCATCCTGCTGCATTACTTGATAATTTTCTCAACAGTAACCAATGTACTAAAAGGAAGATGTCGGGCAAGATGAACTGTGGCTCTATCATCACAGCAATGACCCAGAATGTAGCACAGCTGGATATACATACAGGATGTCCCAAGAGGAATGTGCCAAACTTCGGGTGGGTGTTCCTTATGTTAAAGTATGCCGATATAACCCAAAACACCTATGTCCAAAGTTGAACGGTTACGGAGGTAATTCCCCCTGGGACACCCTGTATATATATATATGCAATGCAGCCTTCAATGCAACTTCACAGACTACTGGCTGAATCACCGCTTAGTTCATGCTTTCACATGAATTCACAACATGTCTTGGTCACACAGGGCCATTATCACGTATACATAATCATTTACATAAACTCTTAAACTGCACTGCAATGCTGTACAGCCAATGAGTGCTGTGTACCAAAAAGTTTATTTGAAACAAAAACAAAATTATTCCTGTTAAATTAATTTAATATATAAAATAATTTTAAACGGTATAAAATTATGTATTGTGTCACAGCGTTCTTCTTTCTTGTGTTGCTTTTTGCAGCAATATGTATTTTGTGGAAGGTATCTTGGCTATACACATACATACATACATACATACATACATCAGCGTTTCAGAGTATTCACAAGTGTGCAACTGGCACTGAATATAAAACTTGTCAAACAACAGTCACAAGACAATCACAGATAAAATTGCAGAAACATCAATTCAACCATAGTTAAAATCCAAACTGAATACCTCAAATAAATAGATACAATGTTACACATACAATTATACCAACAAGATAATTAGCAATACATAATAATTCTCCTTCCTTAACTTACACTTACACTTAATGTCTATATTAACGCCTACTGTGGGACATCCATCAGTCAGCATGCACTCCCCTTCTCTTCCTTAGCTGTTGATCCCGACAGAAGAGCAAAAATTCATCAACAGTATATGACGGATTATGTATTAGGACATCTCTTATTTCATTTATAAACTGTTTTTTATCATGTACTAAGTTAGATAAATATCCGGGCAGACTGTTAAATATTTTTATACTCATGCAATGGACCCCTTTCTGCCTCATTGCAAGATGTGATTGTAGGACCTGTAAATTTCTTTCGTGTCTTGTTGGTCTCTCATAAATTGAATAATTAAAAGTAAAATACTCCAAGTTATTTATCATAAAAGTCATCAGAGATAAAATATATTGAGACACCAGTGTTAATATATTTAACTTTATAAATGCTGGCCTACATGACTCTCTATGTTTCATCCCCATTATTATTCTAATAGTCTTCTTTTGTAAGAGAAAGATCTTCTTGGCCTCCGACGAATTACCCCAAAAAACTATTCCATATCTCATGAGTGAATGAAAGTATGCATGATACATGTGCTCTAGTGGCTAGCGCTGTCTACAGACACTTTGGTCCCTAATTTAATAGTACTATTTCTGTGCTGCAGGCCACCACTGTTCAGGGCACATAGTTAAAGATAAATATACTTGCCTGGATAAGACTTGCTTCTTGCTTTGGTTTGTCCATATTAAATTTCTTAACAGCAACTAATGTACCAGAAGGGAGATGTCTGGCAAGATGAACTGTAGCAGTATCTTCACAGCAATGACCCAGGACGGAGCACAGCTGGTAATGTGCTGGGTCCGCTTCAAACATCAGCATATCAATGCTACGCTGCAATGTAAAAATTCTCCACATTTCATCCAGTCATTTGATTCCAGTTTCAAGTTGCTAACCTATACGTAAGTATAACCTAGCTTTTGTCATATGGCTTTTTACAATTATAGGATACACACACCTTGAAAATCTATTTTCCTATAAGGAGGTGTACAACTTTTTTTATTTAAGTATCATCTTACGCTCAATAATATTCTAACAAAAATTAACAATTTACCACACTTCAACCCCAAACGCAATCAGCCATGTTTGTAAAAACAGTAAAAACTTCACTTGCGCCACAGCTATTAACAGATATATTATTCTGTAAATCGTTATACCAACACTTGAACCTGCATTTTGATTTTGCTGTAAACAACAGAGCTCTGTTACTCTTATTCACTGCACTCGACGTAAATATATAAATATTATACTTCGCACTGAATTTTTCATCGGTCGCCATTGCATGATGTTTGTATATACATAACGTGAAATATGAACGCATACCGTTTGTCAGATTAGATTAGCGATTAATTTAGTGAACATGAGTTGGCTACATCCCGGGCGGTTGTATAATCGTATGTAATTGACGACTTTCTGCATTGTCTAAATCGGTCTCGATAATGTGTCCTTTTGTGTAACTGGTAATGGTGTTTGATCTGTTGCAATAGGTTATACAAGCACAGAATTTTAATGGCACTGAGGCACGTTTTCTCAGAGTACTTCTGTTTCCCCTGCCAATCTTCATTCCATTAATTGCTCCACAATTACCATCATCTGTCATCTGGGGCTGGCACAATAGACCAATAGTGTCATCAGTACCAAGTGGAGACAGTTTCACCGCACCAAGAATAATAATAAAAATATGATATACGTTTCAAAATTCTCAGTAATATTAACCTTAAAAGAGTAAGAGTTCAGACACGAATTGCTAACTAAATGGCTTTAATGGTACAAGCCTGACGGGTGATACGTGCCAAAGTAGTGTTTCAGTCTGACACTGTTAACCTGTACATTCAATATCTGATAAAGAGTTTTGCAAAATTTTGTAATTATCCAATCGTTCACCATTCTGACCTTTTATCAAACTTTAGACAGCAGGTGGTATTGAAGTCATTTATAACCAGGTGCACCACCAGGATTTTTCGAGGGAGGATCAGCCAGAAAATTGACATACAACTTGGGTTGAAGCTGTTTAACGCTTTATGCTGATCACCGTAGCGTATGCAGAATAGAGGACTATTTGCTTAAATACTTATAATTTTTATTATAAGTATTTGGTATGTTTCTTCCTCTTCTTCAATTTTGATTGTTTTAATAACCCTGGGGGGGGGGGGGAAGGGATGCCTGGTTTACTCCCCCCCCCAGGGACCCATGCTTATGCCACTGTGTGTTTGATTCAATTCAATTTACTGAAATATTCCGTTGATCCTTAGTGGTACAATAATGACCAGTAGATGCGGAATTAGTCACAGACAAAACCAGACAAGTCGCATCACTTTAACAATATAAATACATTCATGATTCATTTCCACAATACAGTATCTACAAACATTGTTCTAATATCTAAAAGCAGATTATTTATTAGGACATTACATCAATTATTACTTACAAACAATACCCAGACAACAAACAGGTCATAGATGCCTGCACACTTAATACCCAGGACATAGATGGAACAACTTGTATACATTGCGTGACAGCTATATGTTTAAAATGTTAAAACTAATATACTGATAGTACTAAGATGTGATGAATATATGTGAGCAGATTATAAGTATCATAAAAAAGTTTACTTAGTAGGGAGTATAACCCAGGTGTTTAGTTTACTTTGCAGTTAAAATATTCATCCAAGGAATAAAACGAATTGGAAAGAAGAAACCTTTTTAGCATCGGTTTGAATAGTTTCATTTCATTACTTTTTATATAAGGTGGAAGATGATTATAAGCTCTGATACCAGATAAGTAGGGTCCATTTTGGAAAACTGTCAAACATGATGTAGGAAGGTGTAAGTTTGTGCTATATCTAGTACTGAAGCTATGAATCTCACGATTCAATTTGTACAGATCTTTATTTTTAACGACAAACAGTATTATCAAGTATATATATTGTGAATACATTGGCAATATATTTAATTTTTTTAAATAGATCCCTACAGGAGTCTCTAGTTTTTGCATTCATAATAACTCTAATTATCCTCTTTTGTATCCTAAAGACATTGATACTGTTAGGCGTATTACCCCAGAAAATTATACCATATTCCACAATAGAATGCACATAGGGGAAATAAATCATCTTAAGGGTTTCTTGTGACATAAAACCTTTTGCTGTCTTAATAGCATAACAAGCTGAACTCATTTTAGTTACTAATTGGTCAATATGAAGTTTCCATGATAATGTTTCATTGATGTGTAAACCAAGAAACTTAATATTTGACGTGTTAGTAATATGCTGGTTTCCACAGCATATACTGATATTGGTTTCTAAACTATTTTTTGTCCTGAATAAAAGGTAATGAGTTTTTTTTTAAATTTCTTACCGCCCACTTCTTTGGGCCCTTTACGTTGGGCGCCACGCTGTTGCCGTCCTCCTTGATCCTACGTTGTGCTCCACTTATCACCGTCCTCCCTCTTCTCGTGGATGTCGAGAAGTTAAGTGGGAAGGGAGGAGAATTGTGGTTGTTGGAGCTGGTATGCGAGAGCAGGTAAAGACGGGAGTATCTTGGTTGTGTTTGGCAATTTGTAGAGCTGAGTTCATATCCTGGGTCTTACACGGGTCTGGCTCGGGCAGGGCAGGAAGAATCTTTCACTACACTCACACACCTCTTTAGACCATTGCACTTAGTAATCATAATTCCCTCCAGCTCACTGAATACAAATGAATTTATTAGTACACTTATTTGGAACTTTACTTATAATACTTTTATGGAAGGGCCGTAGTTGTAAATTTTGTGTCCGACTTTGCTGAAAGTTGTATGAAGACTCCTCGAGGTGGAATGCACTCTCTCTGAATCCTGAGGTCCACGAACCCCAGACTCCAAGAGAAATCCACTCCTCCACTTCTGCCATTGGTTAAAGTTTCAAACTAGGAGGTTCCCTAAATTTTGAATTTCCAATCATGTTGCTTTGCTATGTGATTCTGGCAGATGCTGACCTGACGCTAAGGTTGACAGCCCCTTGATGCCTTACAATCAGGGGATGAGGTTCCGGCCGTCCCACTTTTAAGTTATCGCTGTTCCGAGCTGTCAGCCCTCAAATTCTCAAAGACTTTCCGACTTTGCTGAAACTGCCAGAATTCCAGGAAAGTACCAGATGTTACTTCCTGTCCACATAGCAAAACTTGAACTATGTCCCTTCTGCGTGTAAGAGCTGGCTATCTGCCGGATCTCTTTGTTTGTAATTTTGTAATCTCAACTTGATACAGATTTAATTAATGCACAATAGTCCTTCAATCAGAATGAACAGTTACAAATTTAAAGATAAATTTTCTTTAAACCATTCATTTATGGCTACAAGTTGTTTATTCATATTAGTTTCAAAAATCAGAAGGCTAGGATTAGACATTATGACGCATGTGTCGTCAGCATATAGGATGATTTTTGCATTGCTAGTTATTACTAGGGACCGGATTTTTATGCCCTAATAATCCCTTAAATATGTATGCATTTATGCATGAAAAACTTCCGAAATATGCACTAAAATATGCACATAAAAATTTATAGCAAATATTAAAATTGATTTTACATTATTTTAAGACCAACAAATCAATATTTAAGTTCATTTTATGTAATCACTGAATGATTCACTTGCAATAAAAAGCTATACTTAAATACATATCATGCAACAAAGCCAACATATTTCATTACAATTTAAAAAACCAATGGTACTCCGAACTTTCAACTTCTCTTCTGCTGTAGTTCACAGTTACTAAATGTTTTAGCTTATCCGTAGTTAGTCACCTCCTGTTGTCTCATAAGATGTCCTTATAGCGGGAAAATCTTCTTTTCACCTCGCAGGAACTTAGGGACGAATGTACAAGAGCCGCTATTTGCTCCACTGTTAGTGACTTTTTACTTGGCAGTTCAATACGTTTCCTGGCTAAAATTTCTTCAATTTCACATATTTGTTCATATCCTGGATTTTTTGAAAGAATGTTGTGTACTTTTTCCTTTACTACTTCACCAACTCTTCCAGGAACTGAATTCAATTTGGAAACAATGGTTTTGAACACACTTAACTACTGATACAAAGTAGTATTGCTATTGCTTGCCTCCAGTGAGGAAATGGCGGATGGAAGATGAGAGAAGTGAGCAGATATATAGGAAAGATTAGTTTCTAGTTCTGTGTTTTTTAGTACATCTTGGGGCAATTTGAATTGATGCTACACTTATGAGATCAAATGTATTCACGACATTCCTGTTTCTAAATGATCGGTATAATAACTCGCTGCACACAGCCACGTGCCCCATTGTGTTAAAATTGGTTCTGCTGGAAGTGGAATGCTCGGTGTTACTGCTTTAAAGGCTTCTTTTCTGTATGGCACTTTAACAAATATCGTCTTCACAGAAGACACCAACTTGTCAACAAGCGGAAAATTTGCACGAATTGTTTCTGCAACACAGTGCAACCCACGGGCAAGACAAGTCAAATTTGGAAATATAACTTTAAGAGCAGTACTGGGTTTCATCATATAACTTGCGGCATCAGTCACAAAGAGCAATATCCGCTCATACTGAATGCCATTCAGCCGTAGTAAATTCATGGAATTGATAAAAAATTTGGAAATTGTGGAGCTATTTCTGGTTTCAAATTGCTCTACCGCAAGAAGATATGGGGTAGACTGTTCATTCTTATTAAGGGATCCAACTATACAATTTGTAATAAACTGTCCCTCACAATCTTATGTTTCGTCAATTGATACCCACATAAAATTATCTTGAATCTTATCTCTAATGCTCTCAAATGTAAGATCGTAACACAGCTTCACATAATTTTTGTGCACAGTGGATTCATCCGGCACTTTGCACTGTGTACACTTCTCTATGAAGTTTCTCAGAGTAGGATTGGTTAGTTTCCACAGCGGAATNGCTGATACAGCTGTAATTTAGTTTTCTGACTTACTTTCACTTTTGGCATGACTACAGAAAGCTAAACAAACTTACCTACACACTAGACACCACTAATGTGAATGGCCCCCAGCTTCAAATGAAGAAGCATAATGAACCTCATGGAGACTTCAGAAATAAATAAGTTAAGTCCCTTATCAGTTGAATAGTATTACGTTGATACCGGCTACATGTGAACGCTTCCGACTAATCTCTTCGTGTC